GGTCTCAAGGTCACTTAAAGTTAACCAAAATTTACACTTTATAAAAACGTTGATATTTTGCTTACTATAAAGACTAGGATTTTAAAATTTTGTATGTTGATGCATCTTAGGACTTCACATTATGTATACACAAAAGTAGTCGTGGGAAGAAGCAATAAAAGCACAAAAGCGTATTGAAAACTTCACGCTAAATAGACCAAAGGGAGCAATTTTAGGGGGGGGGGGGCAAACATTATGAGGATCGGGCTTCTCAACAACTAAGAACTAGTCAAAAATAAAGGTCGATTTTATTGAGGTTTGACAAGCTATATATATAGCAGGTTAGATTTCTATATAAAATTTCAATTTATCGGCAAAATTATTTGGAGAGGGTGGTTCCCATGCTTTGTATGAGCAACGAGTTTCAAGTGTGCAGTCAGGTGTAACGAAATCAAAGAATAATATCCTTTAAAGCTGAACACTCTTCATAAATAGGCATAGGCCGCCATATTTCTCGTTGTCCAACGCTCTCCCCACAACCCATATATAAGGAGAAGATCGCTTATCAGTTCAATGTATTTTGCTGTAGAGATCCGACGAGTGTAGACGTACATCTTACAAAGCCGTGCAACTCGATCGAGATGAAATTATCAAAATTAAGATATTTTTTCTAAACAAGGACAATAGTATTATGAAAAATACAGGTCAATACATTATATTCAAGCAGAAAATGCACATAAAAACAAGGAAAAACGCAAAAAAATCTAAGACCACAAAAGGAGTACTACATGTCGGACACGAGTTTCGAATGTGCAAACGAGTGTAACGAAATCGGACGGTTTATATACCCGTCTGACAGTGCCTATTTATGAAACGTGTTCAGCTTTAAGTTACAGTGCCTTTTTATGAGAAGTCTTCAGCATTAACCATAAATATCACCTCAAATTTCTTTTCACTGTATCTCTGAATCTTTAAAAGTCAGGAAAGATAAGGCACAAATTGAAATTAAAGTTGACCCCCAAAAAACTATGACAGAATTTAAAACACTTACAAGGTGGACGGTATGGTCGGTCACATATTTTCTCAGAGCCCCAGGGTCCATCGTTGCAACACTTTTCTTCTACAACACAAAATTAACAAAGTGATTATTAACATGTTCTCTTACCTTTGACACATAAAACACTTCAAAATCTTCTTTTTGTGAATAAGTATGAGGTACTGTAAGGTAGGGAAGTTTATATATCTGGTAGTCTGTCTGACCGTCTGTTCATCCTATAAATATATTTGCAGTTTTTACAAATCTGTTGAAATTGCAGACAACGTGAATCACGTGGATTTTTCTAATCAACCGTTGTCTGTCGTCCGTCTGTAAACTTTTCCACTTTTTCTCAAGAAGTACTGGACAAATTCTAATTTAACTTTCAAAATTTTTCTTGGGATTTGAATTGTTAAATTAAGTTTCACCCACCCACCCCGAGATAATTATGAAAATGCCAAAATTGAGTAGGGTCATTAACATCTTCTCAGAAAGCACAGGGCGAGAAAAGCTGAAACTTGTGTTGTTCCGGGGGTAGGACGTGTTCACAATAGGGAATCCGAATTTTATACCGAAACATATAATGAAAAACTTTACATATACTCTTCTGAAGAACCACTGGACCGGAAAAGCTTAAGGTATTCAATGTATAACGACCAAATTTTGTGCCTAATAAATAAATGATCCTATTTTTCTAATCGTTGTAGCATTGTATAGATGTTATCAAATGAAAATGCTCCAACAACGGATTTTACAAAATTTCGATTATTGTCCAATTAATTGCACCTTGAATTTAACATTGAAGTCTATGGGCAGCTCATGATTTTATCAGATCCTGTAAAAAGTACATTGTAATTTAAATTTCAAATAAATCTTTTGGTGAAAATATGCATAAACTTCCTCTTTATTATACTATGAAATAAATAATTTACGGCAGAAATTTTGGGAAATATTTTATTTCTTCCTTTTCATGAGGGGAAAATAACTCTTCAAAAATTTTTAACATGCAAAATAACTCTGAACATGTTATCAGTCTTACAATGTTGGTGCATTTCACTTTTACCGTTATCTAGAAATGCGTTTTAACTGGTTTACAATTATTGAAAATTGTTCAAAATACCTTCGTTATACATTGAATACCTTAAATGTATGTGAAAGTATCCTGGGATAATGTTGTTTCTAAAATGTCAACACATGACCCCTAAAGGGTAGGGCGAGGCCACAAAAGGGAATCAAATTTTACATGGAAATATTAAAGAAAATCTAAAGTAACACTTGGCCAGAATAGCTGAAATTTATGTGGAAACATTCTGGAATACGGTAGATTCTAAATTGTTCACATGATGGCCCCTTGGGCAAAGAAACAATAGGGAATCCAAATGTAACTTAATAGGGTATATCTCGAAATACTTCAAGAACCACTGAGCAAGGGTAAACTTTTATAAAAGCACTCTGGGGAAGTGAAGATTCTTGCATGTAATTGCACAATCCAAATTGGTCCATACACAAAGGGGAATCTGGTGAAGAACAACACAGTCAAAGTATTCTGGTGAGCATTGTGGCCCAAGGGCATTTAAAAAACATATTAACGACCTTGGTTCCAATATTCAGTATAATTACTGAAGTGCTGGCCTCTTTCAAAATTGTGAATGCCATAACATCTGGCTTAAAACATGAATCAAATTCAATAACTGGAAAGTTGTTGCATAATACTCAGGTAACCTATAATGCCCATGGGCCTCTTGTTAATAAGATATTTAATATTGCGATTGTTATTGCAATAATGTACCTTTTTTTCAAGAAATCGTTTTCAATTGCAAATGCATAGGTAACCGCATTAGGTAGTAAAGCTACTTATTACATTCTGTATGGAAAGTAAGCATCGGTTTCCTAAATAAGTGAACATTTTGTAATTTTATAAGCAGTTTTGTAATTTTATGAGCAGTTGATTATATTGAGATATCTGCTTTCCATACATAAAATTGTTAATGTATTAGTTGAGGGGGTACATAATAAGCATGAAACCGCGAAACATTTTGTAATAAATTCTTTTGTTAGATTTATAGTTAATTTTAAGTTAATACTAATAATTCCTATTGTTGTTAGATTTACTAACCACAATTTCTCTTTCCCTTTTACCAGTTTTCATTACATTTACTTTTAGGTTTTACAACAAATTATGCTCTTGTTTACATGAGATATTTTGTTATTTACCTGGTCGAATGTCCCATTCAGATAACTTAGACCTGGGATGCATGACAATGTGTCCACCAGTGGCGTCTCGTATGAGTATTTGGCTGTTTGGTCCAAGGGGTATACGGATCTAACTAGAACAAAGAAGGACTCGTAAACCTTGGACTTAACATTGATCTCCACATTATCTCTGCAAAATGCCCTTCAAACTGTGTGATCTTTGTCCCAGACAAGCGCTTGAAATGATCCTTTCCATGCACCCTCTATTGGATTAGTGTGTACCTCCTACTCCTCCCCAGTTCTGGTGTTAACGTAAGTTTTCTTAAAGGCATACTTATGGACAACGGTGAAATGCTCCTATCCCATCTTGTTAAGGGAACAATAAGCGGACAATCCATCACTGTAGATAGTACTGTAACCTTCAATGTGTCTCTCTATGATTGGAAGAAGAGTGTTTTCCGTTCTGTCCACCACTGGATACAAGATGATTGTGTTGCTCTCTCTCTCTCTCTCAACCATCCCAAATATCCATATCTGCAGGAAAAATAAGAAAGTTAGTTATTAATGTTGTTAAAGCAGTAATAATTAACCCTGTTAAAATTATTTTTTTTCTACACTTACCAATACACATTTTGCATTTTTGTTCATATTTTAAATATTTTTGACCAACATTGCAAAATTGTTGATGTTTTGTACTAATATCAGTAAGTTTAAGATATATACATAATTAACACTATAAATTGTGCATTATAACATTTCCTGTATATATGTTACTACCTTCAGTCCCTTGTTAGGATCTCCCCTATGATGTTTTGCTCGCCTGCCAATAAGCGAATCATCGATTTCTACAGTGCATGACAGTTTCCTCTTCTTAATCGTTACCTCAAAGTACTGTTTGAAGAGTTCCTTCATACGCGAGGCCCCGTTAGAGCTGTCGTCTTGTAAGCAATTCCAGCAAACCATGGGCACTGGTTCAGTAAACAACCCTCAAGATATATAGCTCTTGATAAATTATATTATATCTTGAATCATTAAATAATTCTGTCAAAGAATGCATATTTTCTACTAGACCTAGTGTGTTGTCTGTTATTCATATATCTGTTGATCGCACCTCCAGGATTTCTCGCTGACGACTTAAAGACCATGGTTAAATCATAGTGCGTCACTGGACACGTAATGGTGGTAGCCAACAGCAGGTGCATGCGGAACCATTCAAATACCATCTCCTGTGGTTGCGTGTAAAAGTTCCACGGATCGACAAAATTTCCTGGACCCATCTGCAGAACGTTAGTGGTTTTTCTCTCCCTGAAATTCCCTCCGCTTCTTCTTGAATCATCCATGGAGGTTAATGCTTATATAGTTTTTGTCGACAGAAACCCCTACTAAAATACTACTCACCAGTCAAATGATTTTAGTACCAATCAACGATTGGTAGATTCCTCCAATGCTAGACTAGTTCTCAAAATTGTCCCCCAGGGAACTTATGTTTTTTAAAACATACAAGAATAGATTTACCTAAAATTCCCTATCCATTTCACAAATTGCCTTTAACTTTCATTAATATTCTGAAGTGCGTAACATTACGCAGGAATTTTAAGAAAGTAAGTCTAGGTATTTCGGAAATTTTATTTATTAAATACTTTAATTTTCTCTTGCTCTTTAGGGTATAATGTCTGACTCTCCCATCCAGATACTGATACTTCTTCATGGACACGTTCCAGCCGTACTACTTGTGATTTGTACCACTTTCGAATAATCTGTAAGTGTTCATTATTACTAACATTGTTTAACCCCTTTCTCCACAGTCACGCACTTTAACGCATATACCGTTGCCCCACAATCACGCACTTTAACGCATATACCTTTACCCCACAATCACGCACTTTAACGCATCTGCTTTTCGTTTAGCGTTTTATCGTCATGCCAGCGGAATATAATATTTAAAAACAAATAAAATAGTGGGAAAATACATCTCTTAGTAGATCTGACGTCATAATAGATAATCATCGTAAAATTACGTCATTTGCATATTAATTTTTGTTGTAAATCTGAAGAAAAAGTGGCCGATAATGAGCGATTCCGCTGACGATAGCGAGGACACAAATTCAGATTACATATCTTTTGTCGACTCTGACAGTTCCGATGAAGAGGAAGATGATATACCAGTAGTTCAACCCTTACAGCCTTTGGAACCATGCTGGTCCTCTGTATTAGAATCATCGGAAACACCCCCCTTTTTGTGTGAAGTTGGACCTTCACATAGTCTGGGGCCGGCAGATAATGAAAAACAATTTTTTGAATTGATTTTTGATGAAAAATGTGTCAACACATTGACAGATGGCACTAATAAATACGCGAGGGAAACACAAGAAAGAAAAGGTAAATTTCTATTATACTAATAATAAAGACTATGTATAAACATTTAAGACCAAAATGTTGTAAAAGATTAAATAAAGTTAGTTTTGTCAATTATCATTTACATTCTTGAAGAGGAATTGATCAGCAAAATCAATTATCTTGAATTTACCCGACCAAGCAACCGATTTTTTCACACCTTACAATTAGGTCTTCATAGCATATTTTGGCACGGTTTCATTGCAATTACAAGATCACATACTTTGTATTATTATATATTTTTTACAGTAATGCATATAATAATTACAAGTAACGCATCATAAAAATACATTCCAAAAAATTTCAAATATTTGATTAATTAATTAATTAAAACACAATGCAATGATTTACAAGACAGAGAAGGCGACATTTTAGATTTATTTATATCACATGTTTTTATATTCTTTTTTTTAAGAAAAACAATTTCAGTCAGCGCCGATAAAATGATTTTTTTTCGGGAGGGGGGGGGGGGGGTGGTATCCGCTCAAAAAGAAAAAAAAATAATCCCGCTCCTACTTCTTTTTACAGCAATATATAAAACAATCGTTGAGGGTGCACGTGTTTACACAAGCTCCTCGTGTGTTGACAAATTGCTGTTAGATTCTTATAGACAACAGGGTTCCAACTTTATGGAGGGTTGAGGGTCAAAGCTAAATTGATATCCCAGCACTTTTGTCTTTATTTTAAATTTGATTATTCTGAAAGTTCAAAAAAGGGGGGTCCTCACCCTCTAGCCCCCAGTGGAAATATTACTTGAATGACTTTTCTTTTCATAACATTTTTTCCATTCATTTTTCTTATTTTAAAAATTATTCATTATAGCCGCAGATAGGGAATAAATTCTAATTTGTACATCTACCTTGCAGGTTATTTGCGATATCAGTACATATTATAGAAAAATACACCTTTTGCTTATTTTAGAATGTATTCTGTAATCACAGGTACAAAGCAAGCAAAACACAAATATGAAAACACAGTTATAAAAGTTCTGCAGTGCTGCACGGGCTGGCGGGAAGAAAGTCTCTGTCTTTCTAATTATAGAATCGGGAAAATCCCTTAGTATTCGTTACTGCAATATATTTCCTATAAACCTTATCAGAAGACTGTGATCAACTGAATTCAATATGTTAATATTTTTTATTCGGCTAAATTAATAAATATTAAAATCATTTTCCCCATTAAAATTAGGTCATGATCCAGTCTGGTACGATTGTACAACCGAAGAAATGAGAGCCTATCTGGGCTTGCTGATTATAATGGGTATCAACAAGTTACCCGACTATAAACTCCATTGGAGCAAGAATAAGTTTCTTGCGAATTCTGGATTTATTGAAGTTATGCCTGTAAGAAGATACGAAAAGTTAACTCAGTATTTGCACTGTGATTCTGAGGATACCGATGACCCACTGTGTAAAGTTCGTCCCATCATGAACCTGGTATCAGAGAACATCTTAAAAAGCTACAAACCACGACAACATCAGACAATCGATGAAGGCATGATCGCCTATAAAGGACGACATAAGGTACATCTTCTAGTATATATGAAATATTTAAGTCTTGTATACAGTGTATGTATAAATTGACGCAAATGAAAAAAAAATCGAATAAGTTTGACTAGACACAGAATCATGAAAAAAGATAGATTGAAATTTGTATACGTGTTTAAAAAGATCTATTCTATTCATACAGTGCATGTACTGCAATTTGAGATTTTGCCTTTGTCAAAATGCGTTCAGTATCATCATATTAGAAAAGGGCGTGGGGATGGGGGTTGATGGGTAGTTGACAAATTACCTGGACATCTTTAATAAAAGAAATTATTTAAATATGAAAGTCTTTTTTGTTGGCGAGATAGGTTCAAAGTTTTAAAACATTTTCGATTAAATAATAAGGGAGGATTTGACTATGTTCAACGGTTGAAAGGGGGGGGGTTCAACTGCTACGAATTTTTAACGTGTTATTATTATACTATAGGTTAAAAAATTTATGTCTGAAACAAGTGCCTGTGGGAAAAACTTAATGATTGCGATTCTATTTTCTTAATTATTTTTAGGCAAAACAATACATTCCATCAAAACCAACACGATGGGGGCTCAAAGTCTGGTTACGATGTGACAGTATTTCCGGCTTTTGTCATCAGTTAGACATATACCTCGGCAGAGATCAGTACAGCAGAGGGATTTCTGTTGGTCAGGAAGTTGTCCTAAAATTGACTGAAAGCTTGGAGGGAAAAAATTTCCATGTGTTTTATGACAGCTTTTTTACATCAATAGCTCTCGCAAGATCACTTCTTGAGAAGAGGATATTTTCGTGTGGAACAATTATGAGAAACAGGAAGGGATTTCCATCTGATCTGAAGAATCTCCCTCGTATGAATCAAGGAGAATATGTTACACGGTATTTTTTTTTTATAAATTAAAATTAAAAATTCAAATTTAATTATTGCAATTCACAACATTTGTGAGTGAATAATTCATAATGTAATAAATATATATTTAGGAGTTTGCACCAAAATACTGATGTATGTATATTTTATTTCTGAATGAATGTCAGTCAAGATGGCAAGCTGAGTGCCACAGTCTGGATGGACAGTCGCCCTGTAGCTATACTATCCACCACGGCTTCAACAGTTGAAATGAGTGCCAATGCGTGCCGGCGGCTGAAAGATGGGACCGAAATTTCTGTTCCTCGACCGCAAAGTGTTGGTCACTACCAGGCCTTTTTTCGAGGTGTTGACATATTTGACCAGTTACGTTCAAAATATTCCGTTGGACGACCCAGTAAAAAATGGTGGAAATACGTGTTACATTTTTTAATCAATACGGCGATCATCAACACATTTCTTATTATGAAGGAGAGTGTGAATCTGCCGAAGAAGAAGTACAGACAACTCGACTACCGCCTCGCCCTAGCTAAACTCCTGATAGGAACTTTCAGGACACCGCCGAAGACAGCTGCCAGGCGACAACTGTCTGAAAATTCTACAACTCATAAATTAATAAGACTGTCCTGCAAACGATCGTATTGCAAAAACTGTGCCAAGGCTGTCCCTAAAAAGAGAAAGGATACATCATTCGGGTGTGGACTGTGTGAGGTACATTTGTGCGGAAAACAGTGCTTCGCTCTATTTCATAACATTGAAGAGTGAGCGTATATATGTGTATTGAGGTTACCTATGTTTGCAGGGAAAAACATTAATGCCTATATATGTACATGGACATTATTAACGTTCTTTAACAAGATCTGTTTCAGTCACTTGAATAGATTGAAATTAAATGCTTCTTAGTAAATTTAAAATGATTTCCTTCTCTAATATCAAGTTTAATTTTACAATACGATCGAAAATTAAAAACAAAAATATCTACAGGAACATTAATTTAAAAAAAAATTGATAATGCAAAATTCAAAATCCCTCCAAAATAGTTATGTAATGCTTGAATTAAAGAATTTTTCACGACATAATAAATCTAAATGGAAAATTGGGAAAGGGGGGGGGGCGATAAGTGAAAGGAATTTGGTCCAACTGAAGGACTTAGATGACACTTTTTTCGGTATACCAATGCTGTTTAGCGATTGAAATATATGCCTTATACTTTAATTGCATGTTGTATTTTGAACATCTGCCTTCTTTTAGTTTTATATTGACTTTTTTGCCAAGCTGTGCATCAAGTTTAATCTGTTTTTTGTGTGTCCGTGATCTATACCGATCATAATTCTAAATTATTTCTAGAAGAAAAGAAAAATGTAGTACAAACACCTAAAAATTAAATGGAAATTTATAACTCTATTTAAAAAAACGTTTTTATTTAAAAAAAATTGCAAATTGCATGAATACGAGCTAGTACATGTATATACTCCTTTTATTTGAGAAAAAAAATAATTTAATTCAAATATCTTACAATAGAAAGCTGCTTAAGAATAATACATATAAAATATGCTTTAAAACATATCGGCTGCTATTTAAAATTTTGTTAAGAAAGTTGTTTAAAAGAGTTGTAAAAAAGCTGTAAAATCGTCAAACTAACTCAAGTGCGCTGTGGGGAAAAGGGTAACGTCATCATTAAGTGTACGAAGTAAATGCTATTGTTACGTCATACACTGTGCGATAGGCAAAGAGGCTGCTTAGTGCTTTAAATTACTACATGTTTTTTTTTTTTGCAAAATTGTGTTTAAAAAAGGTGAATGGAAAACGCACGCTTTAATTTTGCTTTCTTTTAACGTTTGAAAGAATAACACTGACTTGCCTAAACAATGCAGGGATGTCTTTGCACAAATGCAGGAGCAACATTCATTCCATTAAAACAGAGGGATTTAGTCCATTTACGAAAACAAATCTAGATATATATGTTGTAAATGGTTAAGGAATGATGTCCAAAACAGCTTTTCTTGTTGACAACGGCCAAAGTTTTGCCGGACCAATAATGTCTTGAATCAACACCCACTGCTTGTAAATTTCTTTGTTTTTACTTTCCGTTAAATGTACAATGAAACAAAATATTTCTGTTTCTTTCATGTTATTACTTTCATTGTTATTAAAATTTTGCCGTGTTGGGCTTGTATCTTGTCATGCTGAAAGTTTTGTCAATTCATTGCACATAGCATGCCTGTAGAAAGCAATTTCAGTTGGGAAAGGGGGGCACAGCCATACATTTTCAGTTGAGGGGGCACTATCATCTACCAAAAATTGTTTGACAAGCAAAAAAAAAGTCATCAGACGTTTTTATTGAGCGGGCAAAAGCATAAAAAATCTATGTTTTTCATGCCAATCTATAAATATCGGCAAGTTATTGGGGGCATAGCCCCACCCCACCTCCGGTACCTTCGGCCATGCATAGCATGTGGAAATTTTATCAAATGTGTTAACTTTGGGACCAGATCAGCAAACATCTGTGTATATCTCCATTTTCAATGAGACAACGCACTTGAAAAAGAAAAGTAAATAATAAACAAAACAAAATAAAAATATATTTGACTTCGTTTTCAACTGTGTGTAGTAGACTGAATCATTTTTATTCTTGAAAAATTGGTCATTACAAAATAGGGGTAAAGGATCAGTGGAATGTTTAAAAAAAAATCAACTATCGTGTTATCGACAATATCGCTAATCATATGTACCCAAATAAAATCACATACGTACCTTGTACAAAGCTTGTCAAATGGATTCAGTCGAGTTCGTGTGTCTTCTCTTTGACGGCTGCATATCAACGTATTTATTTTGCATGTCTACATAACTAAATTGCATGTTGACATATTTATCTCGCATGTAGACATAAATAAGGAAAGACTTAACATAACTCAGTTGCATGTTGACATAAATGAGATGCATGTCAGCATATTTATCTCGCATGTCAACATAAATAAGTGGCATGTTATCATTACAAAGTTGCATGTTAACATATCTAAGTTACATGTACATCTTGCATTGGCATGTTATCATTACAAAGTTGCATGTCAACATAACTAAGTTACATCTCGCATGTCAACATAATTAAGTTGCATGTTGACATAACCAAGTTATGTGTTAACTAAGTTGCATATTGACATATCTAAGTTGCATGCCAATATATTTAAATGTATCTTGCATGTTAACATAAATAACAAATAAGTAGCATCTAGCATGCTGGATGTCACATGAGGGCAATATTTGAAATTTTGGAGAATTTTTTCAATTTTTATTTGATTGGAATTTTCTTGAATGTCAACATATCTACTCTGCATGTCGATATATTTGAAAGAAAAAATAACTTGCACACAAGTGGCAGAAAAATGCCACCATAACTTTGACCTCAATCTCCAAAAGTGCGTCTGATAAGTAAAGTATCGACTCTTCCAAAAAGACCCCCTCCGGCCGGGCTCTATAGTCCCGACACGCGCATATACAACCCGGACGGGCAAAGGGGAATAACTCTAAAATAAATTCAACACAAAACCACCAAACTCCCCCTCCCTTAAGACCTTATGTGCATTTCACATTAGTCAAAACAATCAATAGTTCACAATGCATATCAACAAATTAAATAAAATCACCTATGAATAAATTTTTTGCAAGTAAAATATTCACATACCTTATGATATTAGTTATTAGATATATGTACAAAGTCATATCAAGTACGTACTGTAGATTGGCAAATAATCACGATGATTTTAATTTCGCTGTGTTCGCGATTCATCATTTTTCCGCGAAAATAAACCGATCGTAAATGCTATCATTAGTTTTAAAAACCTTTAAATGATTGGAAGAAACTTTCTTACAGCGTGAAATTAAAACCATCGTAATTGAAACTTTTTGAGAAATCGTGAAATTTTAACACCGTGGAATTAAAACGATTTACGGTAACATACATGAACTACCAGGGAAATAACTATAACTTTGTGTTTTAAGTGTTCACTTCACTCAAAGTTATGTATCACATTACATAACGGCCAATCACTGCCTGTGTCTCTATCAGAAGTTTTTACAATACTCCTCCAAGAAGAGGGTGTCTCTTTCTTTCAGTCTTTTGATTTCCATTTCCAGCTCTCCAATCCTCTGCTCTAATGCTTGTCTCGCTGCTTTCTCTCTCTGTCGTTCTCCTTCCAGTTCTACGAGTCTTCGCTTGGTACGTCCCAGCTGATCTATACTATTATGCATCCATGCCAGACAGGTCTGCAGCTGGACTGTTGGCGCCCTTTTCCTATACTCTGGTATTACCTTGGCATAATTGGTTTGTTTTGAAAAAAAATCTAATATTTGTTGTACAACTGTTTTTCAGACATACCCTATGGATATTTTGTTAACAGAGGAGGAGATGGAGGAGGTAGACAGTGACATTCGACCCTTGTGGCAGGAGGGAGGATGTCGTGCAATTTAGAGGGATGTACCATGCGGTTGTAGACCTAGATATGATTGAGATGGTGGCCATCTCATAGGGCCCCGCTTTCAACAATGAACGTGAAAATGTAAGGTAGTTTAAAAGAGTTAATTTTGAAAAGGAACATTTGTGTAATAGAGTAAAAATCATTTAGAACGACTTCAGGGATATTGCGAATTTACAGATTTATATCGAAGTTATATTATCTTGTGTTCCCAGTTATATAAATTTACTGGAATTAAGGGGAAAAAATATGCACCAAACAAAGATTTTAAACAGAGAGGGTAATTCTGACCATTACCTATAAAATTCAACCAAGGTCACTGCACATCTATTGACCAGTGGCACTCTGTGAGTGAAGTATGAGCCATATTAAGGATAAAGAAGATATGCTACGCAAAGGATTTTTCATATAATTCTGCTATGACCTTGACCTTTGACCTAGAAACATGGTTTAAGGTCACTGCACACTGGTTACCCAAAGGCACTCTGGGGGTGAATTATGAGCCAGATTGGGCCAAGGAGAGAGAAAATATGCTCCGGACAAGGATTTTTCATAAAATTCTGCTATGGCCTTGACCTGTGACCTACAAACATGGTTGAAGGTCACCACACACAGGTTACCCAAAGGCACTTTATGGGTGAAGTATGGGCCAGATTTGGCCAAGGAGAGATAATATATTCTCCGGACAAGATATCTCTGACGGACGGACAGACTGATCACTATAGGGCGCCCGCCATGCGAGGCCCTAACTATAAAGCCTTCTGAACGCACTGGACAGAGGTCAATGAATCACAAATTGAAATTTATAAATGTCCCTAGCTAGGCCAACTGTCGGTATACGAGCAAAAAGTCAGGTGACCCGGCATGAGCGCCTCAAACATCAGAGCGCTATGGAGCCTACGCACACAACTGTTCGAAATCTATAGGATACTCAGATCCACGAGGCAGCTGATGCCACTAGCCCCAGTCTCAGCAGCCAGAGATAGATTTAGACGCGAGGTCGCAATGAAAAGGAGTAATCTTAACTGTGAGGCCGGACACATTTTGGAGGAAAAGGCAAGTGTCCAGAGATCAGGAAGTGATCCCAGAGGTCCGGGAAGGCATTGTCGTTATTATAACAAATAGACTTTGAGGTAAACAGTCGGTCCCATCCGTCGAGGAATATACGTTTTAGTACAGCTATTTTACTATATAGAGACAGTGACTGTGTGCCTTCATTTGAAGTATATGTAAACTTATATAATAATGATTTTTTCTTAACCTTTGTTGTTCAATTAAATTTTATTTCCTGCCATATTATATTTATACATCATTACATGTTTAATTTTTTAATAAATGGTACATGTATAAGCATTTATATCTTGAGAAAGGGGAAGTGTGGCAAGAATGAATTTCGTTATATACATTTATTCTTTGTATTTAAATAATATTATATTATTATA